ATGAAATACTATTCGATCGGTCAGTAAACGCTCAGGACGAAGGAAGTCAAAGATGTAGACCAGAAATAGTATTTGATGCAGCAGAAGGGCAATCAAAAGAAAGGATGTACACATTCTTGCCAAGAAAGGGATCTGAAGAATCAGTAAGATTTGATCTCAAGGCATGTGAATCAGTGGAAATCGCATCAAAGACCAGAAAATTGGTTAGAACAGGACTCAAATGTAGCATTCCAAGGGGGGTGCTACGGTCGTATAGCATCAAGAAGTGGGCTTGCTGTCAAAGGAATAGATGTAGGAGCAGGAGTTATAGACTGAGACTACACAGGAGAAATCAAGGTGTTGTTAATCAACAACAGCGAAACCTTGTTCTCTGTAACAGAGGGTGACCGAGTTGCTCAACTAATTGTCAAGAAAATCCTATATTGCAACACCACTTATAAAACAATCGAAAAAACCACAGAGAGGGGAACAGGTGGATTTGGATCCACAGGAAAATAGTTCGCCAGGAGTCTCACCCTTAAAGAGGGTGTAATGTCACAGTTTTTTGAAAATATTTCAGAATAAGCACGCGCCTATCTTATCTTATCAGATAGTGATTAGATATGGATTAGATGTATGCCGGAGTATCTACAGAATAGTAGAGAACCCGCTAGAAGGTTCCAGGATGCGGTTGTCAATCAGGAGACAGCTCACTAAGCAGTTCTACTCAGCGTTGCTTAGTGGTCAAGACCCATAGGTCACCTGATTTTTTAGTCAGTTCCCGGCTTGGAGATTCGTCATCGACACCAGTTAGTAAGATGGTCAGCAGGTGTTAGTAGGTAGCCAATAGGGTAGCTAGCACAAGTACCAGGGGTCTTGTCCTTACAGTATTAGGGGGGCTTACCCAGCACGTATATAAGCCAGTAGGTCTGCACCAGTTAGGGCCAGACTAGTTATAGTCATTTACCTGCTCTCACTCAGTGTGCGCCCTCTACTAGTAAACTGTTCTCAAGCATTTTACTCAGAAGAACTATCAGATCATCAGATAGTGAGTATAGTTAGGCTTAGGGTTAGGTTTTGGGTCAGGGCTGGAGTCACTGTGGGTCATCGCGTGACATGTACATAGAACTTGTAGGTGTGTTTACTATTCGTTCAACACTAACAACGGAACACAAGTAACGTCCCCTGTCGTGTTAACTCCCACACCCTTCACTGACCTACTTAGTGGTGAACCAAGTCGCCCCCTTTGCTGCCATCACCCTCGCTGTCATCAACAAGCACCCCCACCTTCTCCTCCTCGCCCTTCTGGGCTTCTTCCTCACAACCCTTCTATCCGTCCTTGCCCTCGCCCTCATCGTCCCCCTAACCCTTCATCTCACAATCCGACATCTAGAACGCGAACACCAGTGGGCCTACAACATTTCAGCCACTGCCCAGCACCCCCTCCCCCATACCACCACCACTCTCCCCATCATTGCTGCCAACCGCAACAGCAACAACCTGATGCAGGTGTACTTTGAGTACATCAGGGAGCATCAAGATTAGTATCTGGGGACTCTCTTTGTCTGTAGTAGTTGGATCCTTTTGTATTCTGGGCCTGGTCTTTTCTAGAAAAATTTCCTTTTGGCTTTCTCTCATGCCTGTTGAGCGCAACAACTGCACAAGAAATAATAATGAGACTTCTAACCTGGACCTGCACCATCGCCCTTTGGCTCCTAGGTGCAACAATTCTCCAACGACTGGTCCCCAGAGAGCACCAACCCCTCACCCTTCCCACCTCCAGACCCTAGAGGAGCGCTTCACCACTGGAATAATAGAAATGCCAGTTCCTAGGCGTCCTATCCTGAGTTTCCCTTCTCAGCAAGAGTCTGATGATTCTTCTCTGGAATTTCTTGATGACAGAGGTTTCCATAATCTATTCGCACCCCTCCTGCCAAACGTCACTCGCCGACCTTTCCTTATCCCTGGACCCCCGGACTCCTCCAATAGCGACACTATAGACCTGCACCAGTTTCCCGGACCCCTGGAAATCTCTCAGACCTCAGAAGCATCCTCCAGATCTTACCACGTTGCTCCTGCACAGGTTTTCCCACCTTCATTGCCCATGAATACTTCGTCTTCTCCAAACCCTGACAGTCCCCCCACTGCATCCACCGATTCCCCCAGCATGCCACCTCTTGCCTCTGATGCCTCTGACAATGGTAGCCTTGACCACGCCCCCAATCTATGGCTACTGGCCGGCATCAGCGAGTACATTACCACATCAGAAGGACATAGCAGTGACCCTCAGGAATTCGTAGTCTACAGCGACAATGTAATTCAGCAGCCCTCTAATGATGTCACCCAATACTGGTGATCTATTCCCTTCAACACCTCCACTCCTGTTCAAGACGTCAATCCCCTGGAACGCGTATTACCCTATTTCCCCAGAGCATACACTACCACTGTCACTTGACCTCCTATGGGTGTTCCCATTGACGGTGATAGGCCCACATAGCACATGGGTGCGCCTCGAGTCGTACTCACCATTCGAAGCGCTCGAAGCTTCCACCTTCGGGGACGACTGCGATACCTCGACACAAAAATGCCTTCGAGCAAAGCCCGCCCTTCGACATCTTTGAAGTTTTGTGATCTCACGACGATCCGATCGGGATCTTTTGGTGGCGGCTTTATTCCGGGGGCTTGACTTTGAAGACAAAACCCCATCATCCAGAGATTGAAACATACAATACAGGACCGATGGGTAAACCTTTAAGTCGATGCGCTTGGGTTGTGACACCAAGACTTGCAATGGTCAGGCCTCCGAGACTAGCAGGAATAGCACGTTGGACAGGAATCAGAAACTGATAGAGACGTTGGGCGGGAGTAGGAAGGATATCGGGATTGTTTGGCACAGTCAGGGCAGTGGAGGTGGTGACTCAGGAGGTTCGGCAGGAGGAGGGATATTTAAGAGCAGTTTTTCATAGTTGTAAGCCAGTACTCAGCCCCTATTAGCGAGACTCGCGCAGAATCACATCCCCCACTCAGCAGAGCTCAGTCTGGCTTCGAACTCTTTCAAAGTGTTGCGTCCCCCTACAAACTACAACTACAATCCTCCAAACTACATCCGCGCCCTTCAAACTACACCTACAACCTTTGAACCTCATCCCCTACCAGTACACCCCCTTCGAGGCACACCTACGCATACAGCTCAGTACTCCAAAGTTCTGTTCTTGCACCCAACCTTTGAACAAGACTTGTGTGTTCGCGCTCGAATCGCACTTCACATTCAAGTCGTTGAACTAGTTCCCCTCTTACCTTCCCTCCGCTTCTACGAGAAGTCGGAGTGTTCGGATGGTCTGAAACAGTCTCACGACACCGTCCTGAGAGAAAACATAGTGAAGTCGTTGCCATTTGAGTGAGCTATCACAACTACAAGCCCTCACCCCCATCAGCTTCCCCGAGAAACAGGAACTAACCCTTTTCTTCGCACCCCCAAGTTAGGGTTATGTTTCCCGAGGTCACATCAATGGTAACCCTGCATTCAGATTAAGACAAGTTTCAACAACCGCTGCAGATGTACTTTGTGTCATGAAGCCTGTCAGGAATTGGAACCTCTCAGACAAAGAATGGGAGGAGCACACTTGGGAGTACTTGTTGACGCGGGACGACAATTTACTGGAAAGTCTTTGGGCATCGCTACAAGACATCAAGGATCCTGGTATTACCAATGAAGTCAATCAATTCAGAGCTGTTGACACCAAGATTGACCTCCTACTTGCTGCATGACGATCCATAGGGGCGGAACTCATACGGGCACAGGCAGAAATGGACCAATGTTGAGCTCAGCTTAGAGCTGCCAACCTGGAGGAACATCTCGAACAACACAAGTTCTCCATTATCACCCCTCCTTCTGGCGCCATGCCTCGCCACCTCCGTTTCTGCACCAAATGTGAAGTTGATGGACATCTGCAGAGTGAGTGTTGGCATTGGTTATGCTCCTATTGCGGACTTCTCCACCCCCGTCATAAATTCCACACCGCCATTGACATCCAACCCAGACAACTTCCCTGTCCCACTGACGAACCCGGGTACTTACAAGAGTGTCGTGCTCAATGGAAACTGTGAATAACGAATCTGGAGAGAGGGGTAATGTTACAGCGTGAGAGGGAGGGTGTTCTTTTTCTTTTCCTACCTATTTGTCGACCCTGTAACTGTATAACTGATCCCATCACTTGATCAGTGTTTCATATCTATTGTGTTTCACCTATATTATGTTTTACTTATATTACATTTCATCTCTATCATATTTCATCCTCATCACTGATACAACCCAGTGGAACCTGTTTCATGTACATCACTGATCCAACTCAGTGTTTCATACTTATTA